TAAAACTAGCCAGGACAACTATTCCTGGAGCCACAGGCATGCAGGCGGGCCTCAAATCCACTTACTTTCCTTGCTTCTTCAGGAGAGTGTAACTTCTCCTTTTTCTTCATTCTGTCTCTTTTTCCTTCTTTCAGAGACCTGTCAAAGCCTAGCCATGCTCTCTGGGACACCCTGGGCTTTCTCACTGTCCCAAGCCCAGCTTCTGCCATACAGCTAGGTACTAACAGAGTGCTCTCCCTCCTCGGAATCTCTATCTTCATCCTCCCGACAACAGCTGAGAGTCACAGCTTGCCTGCCCTGTGGTTTTTCTTCTAAACTACTTAAAATTGTTCTCAAGTTTAAAATAAATTAGTAAATAGTCAGAGGCCAACGTCTGAGGTCAAGCTCACCATCTGGCTCTGCGTCTTTTATGCTACCAGAATATTCTTTCACCTCCAGAAGATGGTGGCTTTCCCTGGCCTGTCCCCAGGTTCTTGTAGATTTTTCACAATCTTCTCAGGGGACACAGGAAGAGAGGAGACAGCAACAGTGATGGCCCAAAGAATGTTGTCGTAGCAGCTGCCACAGGATAAGTCATGCGCTGCAAAGCAAACAGAAGCCCATGCTGCAGGGAGCACATGGCTGGGACAGGAGAAGGGACCTAATTACCGGGGCCATGACTCTGCGGGGAGCAGTTTCCAGGTAGGTGAGCCTGTAGCATCGCCATGCCAGGTGCCAGTGTACCCAGGAGAGTGAGCTTCTGTGCAGGGTACTTTTGTGGATTTTGTATCTGACCACACCCTCAGTTTCTGAGGCTAGAGAACTGTCTGTGGCACATGGGCAGGTGTCTGTGTCTAAGTCAAAACAGTAGAATGGCTTTATCCAGTGGAGCTATTGGTACCATCCAACACTGCTGTGTAGCTACGAGCTGTGACCTCCATCCTGATGCCTCCCCTCCTGAGTGACAGGATTACACCAAGTTTATGTGGTGCTGGCAATGTGACCTTGGGCCTTGAGCAAGCAGTCTACCAACTAAGCTAGATCCATATTTTTTTTTTCTGGCAGTAACTTGGGTTTGAACCTAAGTCCTTGTGCACACTAGGCAAGTATCACCACTGTATAGCCCAGCCCTAACCAATGTTCCGTCATTGTCATTGTCATCATCACCATCACCAAAGAACGACAGAGACTGAACCTAGGGCTTCACCATGGTAGACAAATGTCACAATTGTGTCACTGAGCAACACCCACCTCCTACTGACGGGCTAAAAAGCATATTTAAATCACATGTGGCCAGTGGCCTCTCAGTGGGTTTCACAGCCCCACGTTGCCCACACAGGTGCTTAGATGTGTTTCTTGTGCTTTCTCCAGGAAGCCTAGCATTGCAGCTATTCAGAAAACGTGCCTGTTGACTTATGAAAGGGAGAGAGTGGCCCCGGGACTTGTAGTTGGCCTCTCAGCATCTCTCTTAGGCAGTTGGTAGGCACTGGGGCTCTGCCTACTTTACAGCTGTGGACCTGGGTCACTCCTGTCATGCACTTGGAGCATTTGGGATTTCATCTCCATGATTACGGGTGCAGTCCTGGGGTGGAGTTGGGTCAACTCTAACGGTCGGGTTTGGGCATAGGTCTGGGTTACAACTACCTTACTGTCTTAGTTAGGGTTTCTGTTGCTGTGAGGAGACACCATTACCATGGCAACTCTTACAAAGGAAAACATTTAGTTGGGGTTGGATTACAGTTCAGGGGTTTAGTGCATTGTCATCATGGCAGGAATCAAGGCAACAAGCAGGCAGACGTGGTGCTGGAGAAGGAGCTGAGTTCTACAGCTTGATCCGAAGGCAACAGAAGAGTGTGACGCACTGGCCAGGCCTAAGCGTCTGAACCTCAAAGCCCAACCCCAAAGCCACACGCCCTCCAACTAGACCACACCTCCTAATAGTGCCACTCCCTATGAGCCTATAGGGGCCAGTTTCGTTCAAACCACCACACTTGCCAAACCTGGGTTTGGCCTCTGAAGTCCACCTGTGGGGAAGTTTTCAGTGGACTCGGCCACAGGACCCGAGGCTGTTCAGCCCTGAACACTTGCCTCCAAGTTCTGCACACAAAGCTTTTCCTATTCCACAAACTCTTGATCGTATTCTTCCCCTCAGTGACTTGTGCGTGTGCTGTCTCTGTGTTTTGTAACCACCACCCCACTCCCCCACCCCGCGTAGCGTAAACGGCTCATCTTGAACCTTGTCAATAGATGCTCTCTCAGGAGGAAGTGTATTCCCTGCTCCTCTGCTGAGGAAAAAAAAAAAAAAAAAAAAAAAAAAAAAACGCCCCCCTTCTCCTCAACATCATCAGGAGAGGGAGACACTATTACAGAGGAGGAAACTGAGGCACAGCTGGATCACTCGACACCAGCCCACAAGCAAGTCAGAGCAATAGCTAGAAGAGCAGGGGCCAAAGAAACAGTGGTTAGGGCTGGGTCAGAATCAGATCCAGTTGGTGTCAGTTTCCAGGGATCTGATTCGAGGAGGAGGGAATGGGGTGGGCGCTCCAGGGCATCCATGTCTTGGGAAGTCCCAGTAGATAATGCAGCACGCCAGGGAGCAGCACCCGACCCGGGGGAAGCATATGAAGGCTGCTGCTGTGGTTTCAGCATGGTTGGTTCCTCGAATCTCATGTGTTGAACACTGGTTCCTGATGTACTGCTGTGAGAGACGGTGGGAACCCTTAAGAAGCAATTAGACCACAGAGGTTTTACTTTGTGAATGGATTGATGTCAGTCACACTTTCTTTGGGCCACCGGCTTCAAATAATGACACAGAGACTTCTTACTATTTGTGAAAGCTTGGCCTTAGCTTAGACTTATCCCCAACTAGCTCTTATAAATTAAATTAAGCCATTTATATTCATCTACATTCTGCCACATGGCTCGCTACCTCTCTTCCACACCGTATGTCCAACTAGCTCTGTGTGGGGCTGGTGAGTTCTGCGCCTTTCTGATTCTTCCCAAGAGTCCCTCTTTCTCCCTGGAAGTCCCACCTATCCTCTCCTGCCTAGCTATTGGCTGTTTGGTTCTTTATTAAACCAATCAGAAAGTGCCTTGGCAGAGACACATCTTCACAGTGTACAAAAAGATCATCCCATAGCAGACTGATGCAATTCCAAGCTTGAAAATGAGTTGGTTACCCTGAGAGCTGGCGATGGTGGAGGGAGTTTCCCCAGCTTCCCGCTGCCATGTGATCTCTTCTGTTCCTAAGCACCCCTGTTCTCTCCTTCGCTGGCTCCAGGCCCCTGCTCCCAGCTGGTAGAACCCAAGCTTTGCAACGATTCCAAAGTCGTTCCCACTTGCTCTCTATACATGCCACTGGCGACTCAGGTTGCTGGCTTTTACCACCAGAAGCACTGTGATATTAAACTCAGACCTGGGAGTCTGCAAACTTTTACTGTATGGAACAAAACCAGGTCATGAGCTAAATCCTGCCTCTTGCATGGATTTGTGTAGCTCTTGAGCTAACGGTGCCTTTTATATTGTTAGAATGTCAGCTTTGGGTGTCACTCTTTACCCACCCCCACCTTTAAATACAGTGTCTCTCATTGGCCTAGAACTTGCCACCATGGTTAGGCTGGTGGTGGTGGGGGAGGAACACCATGATTTTCTTATGTGTGTTCTGGACATTAAGCTCCTTATGGACTGTGACATCTCCCAAGTTCCCAAGATGGTTGATTGTTCTTTTAAATCAGGTGAGTGTGGGTGTCCTTACTCACACCTGTACCCCTAGCACTCATTAGACAGGAACGCTGTCGTGAGTTTGAGACCAGCCAGAGCTATATGTGGGACCCTGTCTCAAAACAAACAAACAAAAACCAGTGAGCTGTGAGAGACTACGCAGTGCAAAAGTAAATGGAGCACAAGTCTCAGTGTCACGAAGCCATCACACATGGCCTCCTTCAGGCACAGAGACAGCAAAAATAACCATGGCCCCCAATGCCTGAGCAGTTTCTCATCTTTCCTTTAAAAATCCTGAGTCTCTGCTCTAAACAAATAATGTTGAGAATTAGAAGTCATTTGTGGGTCAGGCATGGTAGCACATGACTGTAATTTCACTGTTCTCCAAGAACTCAGGAGGCTGAGGCAATCAGATCTTGGATCACAAATTCAAAGCCAACCTGGGATACATGGAGTGATTATGCCTCAAAAGTAAATTAATTAGCTAATTTATTAGTTATGAAACACCTGGTAGGCTCCTGTTTTCTTCCTTATTAGTACAATTAAAGTTTTGTTTTTATTTACTGTGTGTGTGTGTGTGTGTGTGTGTGTATGTGTGTGTGTGTGCATGTATGTGTGGTGTGTGTGTGTGTGTGTGTGTATGTGTGATGTGTGTGTATGTATGTGTGGTGTCTGTGTGTGTGTGTGTGTGTGTGTGTGTGGTATGTGTGTGTGTGTGTGTGTGTGTGTGTGTGTGTATGTGTGGTGTGTGTGTGTGTGCCTGTGGTATACGCCTGTCATGGCATATGAAAGGAGATCAGAGAACAACTTGCAGGAGTTGGTTTTCTCCTTCCTGACTGTAGGTTCTGGGGATTAAACTCAGGTTGTCAGGCTTGGAATCAGTTACCTTTTACCCACTGAGCCATCTCACCACTTCCCATCATTACATTTTTTAATGAATATCTGTGGGTCACCGGTTAACTCATCGCTGTACCAGCTCATGAATATGTATGAACCGGCACCTGGTGTTGTAAGTGCTGAGCAGATGTGTATCTCACTTACGTGTAGAATTATTAACATATAGACACGAATTCAAACAAGTGCAAGACTCCAAGTCTCCTTCCTCCTAATTTATTCCAGGGTGTGCTGTAAACAGTGTGCGGTGTCCCTTTGACAGCTGTCTGCTTCACCCGTCTCGATGACACGGCAGATTCTCCTTCACAGAAGGTACAAGTGAACCAGAACCCGAGGGGTGGGGAGACAGAGCATCTCGGATCCTTCCCTCTTCAGAAAGTGTGATCTCCCCCAGATGCGTCTGGTTGTCAGTAGAAATGGCCCATGCTCCTCGGAACTGAGGGGTCCAGGCCACTGTTCATCCAAATCTCTTGAATGATTTGTTCCCTGCGCTCAATTCTTTCTGCCAACTCAGCGGCCTCTATGGAGCTGTAGGCTGGATACGAAGTCCTACAAAACCTGGAGAGTTCGGCGGGAAACTCGGAGTCTGAGGACTCCTCCTCTTCTACCTCCTCCTCACTGTCCTCCTCAGCCTGGTCGCTACCTAGCACCAGATGCTCTCTACCCTGACTCAGCTCCTGGAAGTCCTTGGTACAGGACACTCTGATGACCAGGGCACACAGTGTGAGGACCAGGCCAATGCAGACACTAGACACAAACAGCAGGGCGGCTCTCTCCGGGTGGGCTGTGGGAAGAAGAGAACAAGTGAGGATCTGGAAGGGTTAATTTTCAAGATTTGCCATCCATTGTGTCAGAAAAGGCCTGGCAACAGGATCATGTGGTAATGTGGAGCAGGACCCAGGGCTCTTCCCAGAATGGCTCTTTTGTCAGGGAACAAACATTCAAAATATGACCTTGTGGGGGACATTTCAGATTCAAGTTATAACAAGCAGCCACTGGCAATATGTAAAGCACAGGGCCCGAATGTGACCCATTAAAACTTTATTTATAGATTTGAGCTGGGGGGGGCATTTATTGAACACTTTTATGAATGTTCAAGCTGAGGCCCAGAGGGAAGGCTGCAGAGGTTGCAGCCTCTTCAGGAAGGACCGGACCCTGCGCTCCTTCTGGGATGGACTTTGGTGTCCCCAGAATTTCTCAGTACATCTCAACTGCTCAGAGTCCCCTCTTTTATTTCGGGAAAACAATGAAGACAGCTGTCTTCACAGCTGCTATCCTTCCCCAGGGCTCTAGACTGGAGTGTCAAAACTCCAGGGCTGCTAAGACTCTCGGACAGCAAGGGATCTCACAGTTGAGATCTGACGGGAGAGATGGAACCAGGACACTTTATCTTCCTGAAAGTGATACCTCCCCAGTCAGCTTCCTTCCCACAGCCCAAGCTGTCCCCAGAGTGGCTCTACTCATCTGCGCCTCACTTTGTGACACTGCCCCTGCCTGACACCTCTCCACTCCCGTTACCACCCAGATGTCTGAAACAGCATTTATTTTGGCTGAGGAAGGGACAACAGAGCATGTCTGTCATGCTATCAGTGGAGTGTTGAAGAGTCAAAGCATATATAGGGTTTGGTCCTTTGCGACAGGGAGAAGGGCTGCTTTTGCCTCTGGGAGTGGTGGCAGATGGCCTATCTGGAGACACTGACACTGGGAACTAAGTCACTAACCGAAAAAGATGCCAAGACCAGGGCCTCAGGTCAGACCTTCCCTCCTGCTCCCCCTTGATGAGGTCAGCTGTTTCTGTGGGTTTCCCCAGCCAGGTTTTGATCCCTTTGCTCCTCACTCCTCCCTCTCTGCAGCTGGAAAAGTTTCTGAGGGACAAAGTCACTCATAGTCCTCCCCCGCTCCTGTCCAAGCAAAGGGGTAGTGGTGACCAGATCTCAGGCTCCAGGGACTCAGGTCAAGGTCTTGCTTCACCACAAAATTGATTTGTTACTCTGCTTCTTTGTTTAATCTTTTTTTAAAAATTAAAATTGCTGGGCCAATGGTTCAGGCTTATTACAGCTAGTTCTACATTAAAATTAACCCATTTCCTTTAAATCTATGTATCACCATGAGGCCCGTGGGCTACTGGCAGTGCTGTGGCATCTCACTCTGGCGACTACATGGCCTTCCTGACTCCACCTTCTTTCTCCCTGTATCTCTGTTTGCATTTCCCACCTACCTATATTCTGCCCTGTCATAGGCCAAAACAGCTTTATTCACCGACCAATAAAAGCAACACATATCCATAGCAGACAGAAAGACATCCCGCATCATCTCCCCTTTCTGTCTAACTAAAAAAGGAAGGTTTTAACTTTAGCCCTGTAAAATGACATATAACCAAACAGTTACCGCTGCCATTTCTAGAGCTTGGAAGCTGCTTACAATGCACTTCCTGCTTACTTAGCTAATATTATATCCTTCTGGGATCTTTATTTATTATTAAGGACTTTTTTTCCCACAATGAAGTCTAAACTTTAGGACATCACACATGTGGGGCTGGTACTCTACCGTTGAGCCATACCCCAGCCCCATTTTTAAAGAATTTAGATTAATCAAACTGAACGAGTTAATCCTTAGGGCGCATCCCATGCTACCACAAAGTCAGCATCTTCCAGCTCCTTCCTCTCCAGGTGGCAGGGGCTGGGCTCTACTCCTGGGACTCGGGGGTTTCTCTCACCACAGGATCGCAAGTTCACATCAATGTCACTGAGTTCCAGTGGCCCAGGACGGGGAGATGTGCAGCTCTCAGCAGTCCCATGGGACTAAAACCCTATCCATAGGATGTGACTGTCACACTGTCAGCAGATTGTAGGCAGATGGCACATTAGAGATGAGCTGGCCTAACCCCTGATGTTGTAGCCTAGTTAGTCACTTTCCAAAGCCACCATTGACTGGGACCTGGCGTAGACCAGGGCTCTGCCCACTGTCCCAGGCTTTCCATAAAGGCATTTTCTCCACTTTCTAGAACCAGCTGAACTGCTTCAGAGATGTGACCCCTCCTCTAGCATCTCTTTTGGAAAAGCAAGGCATTCTTTTTTGTGTGGTTGAATAGAATAGAATTTTCACAGTGTTTTTGTTGGTATTCTAAATTTAGCCCCAGTTCATCACAGACTAGAGGGAATGATCCCAGGAACCTTGGAATGGGGGCCTTTAGGCCCCATTTGCTCATTAGATACTGGTCTGGAGCCAACACAAGCTCCAGTTCAAATTTAGTCACACCCAGATAAGCCACCACAAGCCTCCAGCCAGGGTCCATCTCTTGTGGGACTGTGGCCAGAGTCCTCCAGGAGGAAGAGGCACGAGGTGTTTGGAGACTTGTCTGACAGCACTTAGGGATGTGATGGGACTTTGTGTCACAGCTGGAGACCCAGGGAGCACTTCAGAGCCCACACCACGTGACAGCGCTGTGCTGCTCTCTGATCATCCTCCTGAAGGGGACCGTGTAACTGACCTTGGATGTGTGATGAAATCACTCCTTCACAAAGCTCTTCTGGTGTCCTTAGAATTCCTTTCTCAGAACCAACGAGGTGGCCCTGGCCTCGGTCCCAGATCCCAAAGACACCCCCAAAGTTCTCAGTAGGTTTGCCTGAGGCTGAGCACAAATACACACACCACAATCCCAAACAACAAGGACAGTGACTGAATATTGAGTCACAAGAGGCACAGATGAGGTAAACACACAAAGCCAGATGCCAATAAGACACTAATTGGTTTTGGTTGCCTGCTTGTCTGCTTGTCCCCCATCTATTTGACTGCATTCATATGTGAAAGCTACCTGGTGGCCTGATTAGAGAATGTCCTTGTGTTCCCTCTCAGTTTGTGGGGGATCTTCCCTGCTCAAGCTCTTGGTTACCCAGCTGTTCTAGCCAGTGGCCTCACTATCAAATAATGCCAGGAGCCCATATGCAGCCTTTGGTTCCTAGCCCCCAAAGCAAGGTTTTTTGGACCCATACCTAGCCTTGGCTGTGACTTAAGATGAACATATTAAAACATCTCTCAATAAAATCAAACAACATCCCATCCAGTCCTCACGCTTAAAGAATGGAGCACCATTCTGGGGTGTAGACAGCTATCGAGATGGCTCAGTGGAGACAGCCATTTGTCACATAGGCCTAAGAGTCTGGATTTGGTCCCCAAACCTCATAAAGAGTGGTCGGAGAGAATTAACTGCACAAAGTTGTCCTCTGACACTCTGACATTCATATGCTTGCCATGGCATGCACGTACCCACGGACACATTTTACATCCATGTGAATGTACACCATATATATATATGTAGAACCCCACAGAAGCCAAAGGAAGGTGTCAAGTCCCCTGAACTAGAATTGACTCAGCATTTTTTATTTAGCCATTTGTTAAATAGTCACTGTGTCCTGGTTTGCCCCAGAACTGTCCTAGACACGGAGATATGACAGATAAGTCGTCGCTCTTTAAGGAGCTTAGACAGGCAAACACATCATCCAACATGCAGCAGGATGAGCGCACAAAAGGATGGCGGAAAGGATATTTACATAGTGCTGGGCAGGAGGTCCCAGCCCTTCAAAGCCTGAAGACAAAGTTCTTTGTAGACGCTGATTGACAGCCTTGTCTGCCCCCAGACTGAAGCTGGACCCAGCCGCTGTCCATGGTGCCCTTGGCAAATGGCCCAGGTCCTCTGACCCTTGGCTCCTTTAAGTGTAGAATTCAGGATTAGAGTCATATCCCTCAGAGTTGTTGCTCTGGACTGGTCATATTCCCCCAATGCATACTGATGCCCTAACCCTTAAGAAGACTTTGTAGACAGAACTTCCTGGAGCTAATTAAGGTTAATCAAGGTCACCAGCAGGTCTTCATCTGATAGGACTGGTGGTTTTAGAAAGGTGCACTCTCCTCTTTGTCTCTTTTGTCTCTTCTGGACACCACTACCAGCCCACCAGCACACACACACACACACACACACACACACACACACACACACACACACACACGAGGATGCAGCAAGCAGGTGGCTGTCTACAAGCCACAAGGAGGCTCTTGCTCATAGTCTTCCAGCCTCCCTCCAGAACTGTCAGAAAATAGAAAACTGTCCCTTGAACTGCAGTTTACAGTGTTTTGTTATGGTGGCTAAGAAGAACCGAGGTGTCTGAGAAAGGATAGGGCCCAGCAGCAGAAAGCCCAGCATGGCCACACCTCAGCCAGAAGTGCCCCCCCTTCTCTTTATCATTATCCTCCACTTGAAGGGGCTTTGAAACTAGGGACACACTTCCAAATCTCCACACTTAACTCTGACAGTCATCAGGAGCAGCAAGAATGGACACGGGAGAGAAGTCGTAAGACAAAATAGAGGCGAATAACCATGCCACATATGGCAAGCTCATGGAAGGAACGCTGGGTGGGAAAACACTGCAGTGATGGCGTGCTGGAGCCAGGCTCGCTAGCTCCCGTACCGAGATGTTTCTCCAAGCCTTAATTTCCCTTTGAGGAAGCTCTACCCTACATAACCCCAGCCCCAGCAGGCTTGAATAGCAACATTCACTCGTCCAGTTACTGGGCATTTTACAGAAAGTCTCAGAGTTTCTAACATCTATACAGTTTTGATAAATGTTCCCCTAAGGCCCATATGTGAAAGTTTGGTTCCCATAGTGTCCTTGGGACTTTTAAGAGGCAGGGTCTATGGGAAGCCTTCAGGTCATTAGGTCTGTCCATCAAAGGGGGTTGTTGGACCGTGCTCTCTTCCTTTCCCTCCCTCTCCTCCAGTGCAAAATGTGATCACTCATGATGCCCCACCCTCACCACAGCAAAAAGCTCTTGAACTTGACCTACAGAACCATAAGTCAAAATATACCTCTTTTTACGTCAGGAGTCCTGGGCCTTGCATTATGTAATGTGGTGTTAGAGGAACGACAGAGCCTTCCTTGAGCAGGAAGCCAGTGTTGATACTTACAGTCAGCATTCCAAGATACAGTCTGTCCCAGGACATGCAGGGAGGTAACAAGGAGTGTGCATTCCTCCTCAGAGAGGGCTGCACATGGCCAGGCCTGCTGCAAGCCTTCAGCCTTAGGGAGGTTAACAAGGAAGCCTCCGCTACCATAGTGATTCCCAGGCCTCCTGAGATGGCCGTGTCATCCCATGGCAGGACCTGTTTTGCTTCTTATGTGATCTGCTTTGTTTTTTCTTCCAGTTGTGAGTAGAATTCAATAATCCCTAATTTTCAGATCTGGGTAATGCATTTCTACTTTGCACAGGGGAAATTCCTTTGGAACCAAACCCTCAGCAACTCAACTTTATTCTTGTGGGTCCCTTGGTTTTGTGGCTGCAGCTGTTATTTAAAGCGCAGCCCTGTGCTTCTGGCTATTACCACACTGCAGGAAAGCCACTTTCCTTTCATTATCAGCGTACCCGCCAGTGAGAAGGCAGTGAGCAAACCCTTCCATACCCCCTGAAGCTCCTGTTCATTCACCCACCTCGAATGTAAGCAAACGCAGCCAGAGAGTTGCTGACGATAACACCATCTTTCCGTACAACCCTTGATCCACTTGGGTCGAATTTTATACCTGCAACACGCAAAGGCCGTTGGTCAGAGCAATACAGGGTGTGTCTGTCCTGAAAGCCCGGTTAACCTTCATCCAGAGCTGCCAGAAGACTTAAAAGTCATAGACGTCAAACCACTGGGCTTCTGACTAAACTGGAAGATGAGGATACTTAGTGTGGAGGTCTCAATGTGACATGTCCCCTGAGCTCAAGTGCGGAAGACTTGGTCCCGGCTGGCAGTGCAGTTTGGGAGGCTGCGGCACCTTTAGAGAGTGGATCTATCCTCACTGGAGGAAGCAGGTGACAGAGGCAGGCCTTGAGGTAACACTTCTAACTATGTAGTAGTGTCCTCTGGTCCTTGACTGTCACTGTCCTGCCGCCTGATGGGCTACTTCCTTTCCTAAACCATGAGCCAACATAAAGCCCTCCTTTCTTACGTTGCTTTCCTTCAGGTGTTTTGTTCAAGTAACAAGAAAAAGCAGCTCATGCAGAAGCCATCTTTGAAAATGCCAAATGGCTAAAGGGATCCAAAACATTTCCAAGTGTCAATTCCAACTTCAGGTGTAGCTCATATACTCTGCCTCAGAACAGAACACACTAATCCAGGCCAAAGGTCATATACTCTGCCTCAGAACAGAACACACTAATCCAGGCCAAAGGCAATGGCATCCATTGTGCCTTTAGGAGACAGAGTAAATGATGCCTCATCTCACCCTGGAACGGCTGTCTGTGGACCAGAGATATGACAAGCCTTGGGTTATGGAAGGAAATGTGAGAGGAGTGTGTGTGTGTGTGTGTGTGTGTGTGTGTGTGTGTGTGTGACCTGCTTTTGGATTCCAGGGAACCACCTGGATGGGCAAGTGCTGATGGGCCAGTATTGGAGCTCAGGGAGTCCTGGGAATATCCCACAGGGCAGATGCCTTTAAGAAAGATGGAGTTCTTGAGGCTGCACTAACGAGGGATGGTGGTCCATCAGGATCAGGTGGGAGCCGTGTGAGAAAGAGCAGGGAGCTGAGATCCAGAGCCTGGGGCACAGGGTGGCAGGGAATCTAGCACATGCAGAGGATGCTCCAGTAGCCACCTCTAGCTATGGGCTAAGGGTGGGTCCTGTGTCACGGTGTTGTGGTGTTTTCTATAGCAGGAGGTACACGTGGAAGCAAACCACAGAGCCAGCCCTCTGTGGCAGAGAGGTCCACGTCCACGAATTCAACCACAGACAGAGAAAAAAGATACTCAGAAGAAATGTGAATGCGTACAGAGTTCTTTTTTTTTTTCATTATTTCTTAAAGAATACAGCATGACATGGCATTGGCATTGTGATAAGGATTGTAAGCAATCAAGATTAAAGGCCACAGAAGGGCTGTGTGGGCTCTGTGCAAATACTGGCTGTTATATTTAAGGGACTTGAACACCTGTTGATTTGTGTGTGTGTAGAAAGTTCTAGAATCAATCCCTAAGATACAGATGGACCCCTATAATTTACTTTTATAACTGGAGGCAGACATAATAAGTAAAATAAAATAACATAAGGCAAAACCCTTGCTACCCAAAGTTAGCATCATATGTATTCTATGGGACCTGTCAAGAACTCAACAAGTTAAATTTGTTCTGTATGTCATTAAAAAAATTCAGGTGAGTTCAAGACCAGCCTTGTATACAGAGCAGGTTCCAGGACAACTAACGGTACACGGAGAAACCTGTCTCAAAAAACCAAAACCAAACAAACAAAACTCCAGGCTGACAGGGATGGTTCATCGGGTATTTGCTGTTAAGCCTGATGGAGTGAGTTCACTTTCTGGGACTCAGAGTGGAGGGAGAGAGCTGACCCCTGTAAGTTGTCCTCCGACCTCTGCAATCACACTTGAATATACCCTCATAAGTAAATAAACGTTAAAAAATAAGATCAAATATCTCTGTCCCTATTTGTATAAGTTAGGTGGGAAGCAAAGAGAGAAAGTGACTTTTAAGGGCTGGCAAGGTCAGCTGGCTCTGGCCCCAGCTTTGTAACAAGCTCCTAGTATTGCCAAGAACCCAAGCTGTTTCTGAGAAGATCTGCTGTCCAAAGTGGTTTTATTATTATGTTCTTTCAGAGAGAAAAAGAGGAATGGAAGAGAACAGGGGTAAACTTATTCTACTTGTGATTTTAATTCTTTGTTGAAGCCAAACACTGGCTGCTATGTGTGAGCACCAGACACGCCCTGTTGGTATCAGCAGAGCAGCTGATACCTTGGGCCTTTCACTCCAGCTCTGTGTGCCTGACTGTCGTCCTCCTGGGCTGTTTAACTTCACTTATAAGGAAACGCTGGGAGTAAGCCATAAAGATTACCGTATCCATCGTCTTTCGTCAGGGAAGGGTTTAAATTAGCAATGGCTGGGTCGACCGCTGTGAGTATGTTCTTGGGAACTAAAAACCAAAAAGAGTTCTTTTAAATACGTGGTATATATATATATATATAAAAAAACAACACTTTTGCATTTAGTATATATTCAAGGTACAATGTAGATAAAGATTTGCAAAATACTTTTCAGATCACTTTACTGACACACACACACACACACACACACACACACACACACACACACACACCAACACAAATAGCACATGAGATCATCAAATGCCCAAGACATAACATGAAATCGTAGGCATATATTTGCAGTATTTTTTCCTAAAGAGCTGGCATTATAGAGATGACCCAGAGGTTAACAGTGCATCTGCTGTTTCAGAGGACCCAAGTTTGTCCTCAGCGCCACAGTGGCTGCAGCCAGGGACCCACCTCCCTTTTCTGGTCTCTGCGGGCATCTAACTCTGCACACATATTTAATATAGAACTGAGACTCCTCTTTTAAAGGATCCTAGAGACTGGGAAGCTGAGGTAGCAGGGCTTCAAGTTTGAAGCTAGCTTGGGCTACGCAGCAAGACCCCATCTCAGGCAAAACAAACGAGGAAAATAAATAAACTACAGTGTGCTCATCTAGTGGGAAATGTTAGTAATAAAAAGAACACGAGAACGAATCTGAAAACAGTGTGCTCTGTGGGAGAAGCCAGTCACCAGGACCCATCTATTGCATAATTCTGCTTCTATGACCTGCTTAGAAAAGATAAATTGGGGGACAGAAGCTGACAGGTGGACAGGGTGCAGGGCATGGGAAACTTCAGGAGGGGTCATGAAAACGTGGGGACAGCTGCACAGCTTGAAGTCCACCGAGGTGTCTCACAGTAGGTGGAAGGCCTCACGTAGCTGTTGAGAGGGACCCGAACCTATCCGAGATACAGGAAAGCAAACTGACTAGTCAGGACTCCACCCCGCCCCCTCCTGCTCCTGCTCTGCCTTCCCTCTGAACTTTCTCCTCACTTCATCAGAAACCTGGAGGAGCCTAGCAACCCCGGGTCACGTGGTTCACGAGACATAAGAAAGGATGGTGCGTGGGAGAAGAGTCAGAGGTTCAGGGACATCCTTGGCTATGCAGGGGATTCAGGACCAGCTTGGACTACCTGAGATTCAGGGAGAGAGGGCGAGAGCGAGAGAGAGAGAGAGAGAGAGAGAGAGAGAGAGAGAGAGAGAGAGAGAGAGAGAGTTATAAAGGCAAAACACACTGCTGCCAACTGGGAGAAGGGAGAGGATGCCAAGTATTCTAGCTGCAGAAAATTGCTTATTTTCATTTTTCCCTCAGCCCAGATGATATCTGGGAGAAGAGGCAACAGGAAGCAGGCGAGCTCGTCAGCACTGCTTTCACAGAGACCCTGTAAGCCACCTCCCGGTACCAGAAAACCCCATTTCCTTCTCTGGGTGCTTAACTAAATTCTTCTGGAGACATCTCAGAACCAACAAGCAGACAACAGCCCTAAGCTGTGAACCTCCCGATCCAGGAGACCCTGGCGCCTCTGCACATTTCCAGAGAGGCATGGCGGAGATGCTGTGGCAGACACTCTGGGCCGGCTACAGGACCCAGCACGACCCCAGGAACACAGCAGCACCACGACAAGTGTGTTAGTCCACTAGCCTCATGCTCATCTCTGGGCCCCAAGAACACGCTCCCCGATTCCCTGGCAGCTGTGAAGCCCTGGATGCGTTCTTTCCCTGCCGGCAGTGGCATTTCTTTCTCAGGTCTGTCTCTGGGCTCAGTCTCAAAATGTGATGAGACAGGCTCCTGGCTCTCTGTGGACGTCAGAGGCGATGAGACAAGGCTTCCATGCGAATGGCAGAGACTGTATAGATTCAGAACTGTAGAGAGAAGCTCAGAGGGGAAGGGCATTCTGGGATGAGCTTTGTCAACAACCCAACAGATCGTGTACCTGTGAAACATAAGTCACCATAGGACGCCTGCCTGTTTAGCATGTGAACATGGTACACGCCTGTAATTCTAACTATGTAGTAACTTCAAGGCCACCCTGACTGCATGAGACCCTGTTTTTAAAGAGGCTTTTCAAGCCCCTTCAAAATGCATTAGAGCCATGACACTGTTCTTACACTGCCTATGGTGACAGTGGCTATTCTGTATGTTTGACAGACAGACTGTATGTTTGGCCAGGCACTCTGCAATTGTATCTCAATAGAGCTGTTTCAATATCAAAGGCTAATAAATGATATTCTTCGGGGGAGGCATCAAGTTCTTCGTTGTTTGGCTTCCCGATTTCCCTCACCTCTGTGCTCGTTTCAGAACAACAACCAGTGTGTCAAGATTGTGAATTGGACCACCACAGCACCCTGAAAACAGCTGCCGACTCACCTGGATCACTACAGCACCCTGAAAACAGCTGCTGACTCTCCTGGATCACTACAGCACCCTGAAAACAGCTGCTGACTCGCCTGGATCACTACAGCACCCTGAAAACAGCTACAGATTCGCTTGAACCACCACAGCACCCTGAAAATAGCTACAGACTCCTTGGACCACCACAGCACCCTGAAAACAGCTGCTGACTCGCCTGGATCACTACAGCACCCTGAAAACAGCTACAGATTCGCTTGAACCACCACAGCACCCTGAAAATAGCTACAGACTCCTTGGACCACCACAGCACCCTGAAAACAGCTACAGATTCGCTTGAACCACCACAGCACCCTGAAAATAGCTACAGACTCCTTGGACCACCACAGCACCCTGAAAACAGCTGCTGACTCGCCTGTAAGTAACTTCCTGACAGGATTCAAGTAGAACAGGGATTCCACTCCCCTCCAAAGACCCCGGAACAGCTAAGGGGCTGCTTGTGACACATGGCAACCTGTGCCTCACTGACTGCATCCATGCTGAGGGCATGCAGATGAAACAGCGGCTGGCAGCACAGTGGGCTGTCAGTTAGGGTCTCCAAATGGTACTGGAAGCCTAAAGAGGAGCCAAAAGATATTTGTGTGAACTCGCACGACACCAGCACATTTCAGGGCTCCCTAAGAACCAAGATAGAAATCGTTGCTTGCTTCGTTCACTCTCGGTGACCTCAACGTTGTCTCCACTTACTTGTTCTGTCCCCTTTTGCTCCATCCTCGGCCAATCTGATTACCTGACATGCTCCCAAAACAATTTTTGACCAAAGAAAACCCTATTGCTTATCTGATGTGAATGTCGTAAACAAGGATAACTGAGAGAAAAGGTCTGGGGTGTGTGAGGTGACTCCGCAGTAACCCGCTGAGCTGTAGGAATCTCTCTGCCAGCAGCCAAGTGGGGCGGCACCCTTAGCGGCAAGCGCCTATGTTAAGGGCTCTAAAACTGTCTGTTCCTTTGACTTCAGCTAAAACAGTTCTGGGAAAGAGATGTTGTGTATGACCAAAAGTATTCCTGCTGTTATCATTACTGTTGTTTTGAGATAGGGATTTCTATGTAGCCCAGACCAGACCTCGAATTCCCAGCATTCCTTCTGCCTCAGCCGCCACTGCTATCCCCACCTCCTGTCTGCCACCTCCCAACATGAACTCCAGAGGAGTCTTCATCCACCACTTTCACCTTTTAAATGTCTACCCCATGATTCTGAGCTACACCTAGAATGTTTCAACTATCTTCCCGCTTACACTATGAACTCAAACTGAGCATGCTCAGTACTGTAGACCACCCCCAAGGTGCTTTCCAAGATGTGTAGGCTTGAATGACTCCAGCTACTCCTTACTTGCTTCAGGCAATAAACTTCTCTCCATCCTTCCATCTTTTGTTGTGCTTATTGGCCAGGCACCACCTACTATGTGCAATTCAAGTGTCACACACTCCTGTTTGGACATGGCTACCACTTCCTTAACAGGCATGTGTTCATGGAGCTGGTTGAGGGTTTATTCTTACCACATGCGTAGGCAACAGTGAGGTATTTTTTCACTCCTGGGAGACAGGGGCTTCCGAAGTGGTAATTATCGACGAGGACCTTACATCTCTGCTTCCCGTAGCACCTCCTGGACAGGACTTGCAAAGCCGTGTAAGACAGGCAGTCTGGAAGGGAAGGGCAGTGAGAGCGTCAGGCTGGTCTGCACCTGTCACCATGCAGCTTATAGCACTTGCTGTACACACATGTGCTGAGCTGAACTTCCGGTCACACAAAGCCATTTCTCTGATGCTGATCTGTCTGACTGGATCACCCAAGATGCTTTGCACCAGCTTGGCCATCAGCCCTCAGGAAGCCCTGAGCTTGGCCTAAGGACTGTCATCACAACCTTGATATTCTGATGTAGTGTCTGTCAAAGTGCCTGGATGTTTGCCTTGCCTTGGGCTCCGCAGCCTGCAACTGACCGTGGATACAGAGCTCTGAATGAGGCTCCTACTTACCTCATGACCACTATGCTCTGAAATACTTGCCTTGTTTAAGGCTTTCTTCTACAAGACCACAAGCTCCATGTCCAAATATGTCTATCTTGTTCATCATCTTACTGTCACTACCCAGCCCACTGTAGGACCCGGGTGAGCAACTGGCTACTCCTCCAGGGCATCCGAACTGTCCCCAGCACCCACAGGGAACAGTTCACAGCTGCCTGTAAACCCAGGGGAATCTGGTGTCCTCTTCTGGCCTCCAAGAGCAAACCATGCAAGCACTGGGGGAGGAGACAGGTGAGTCTCCTGGCGCTCACTGGTCCACCAGCCTTGCCCACTTAGTGAGCTCCAGGCCAGGGAGGCACCCTGTCTCAAGAAACAAGCTAGATGGCTTGTGAGGAACAACACCCGAGGTTGACCTCTGACCCACAGGACATTTAGATGCCCCCCCCCATTTTCTAACACAATAAGCCATGCTTAGAGCTAGATATTTGTATGCAAATATGGGACTTTCCATGGGAATTCTTATCATAGATTTCTCCGTCAAAGAGTGCCAGAACATGAACTCAGTGACACACTGACAAGCTATTACTTAGGGAAATGGTACCATTGTGTACTGCTGATGGAAATGAATGTTCTAGAAAGCTTATGCTGTCTTAGAGCTGTGAAGAAATAGATGCCTGACCATTTTTTGGAGGGAGGGGATTGTTATTAGTGTTGTTTTGAACTGGAGTCTCATGCTGCCCAGGTTGTCATTAAACTCAATATGTAGCTGAGGATGGCCTGGGATTTCTGCTCCTCCTGCCGCCATCCCCTCAAACAATGGCATTACAGACATGCATCACCACGCCCAGTTTGTGCAATGCTGGTGCATGCTAGGCAAGCGCTCTCCACACTGAGCTACATCCTCAGTCCAACCTGAGCACAGTCTTAAAGACTAAAATAGGAAAGAAAATCACCTTCCAGACCTAAGACGGGAGGACGCCCCTGATATACTCTGAGTACACTTCACAATTTAGTGAGAGATCACACTCTTATCACCGGGAGTTTATCTTAGCCGTGACTTCAGGAAGCGACCAAGGCAATTCAGGGCTGACTCAGGGCTGGCTGTGCCCTTATTGAGACTGAGCCCTGAACCATTCCCAGGATCTTGTTGTTTCTTTAAAGGTGGTTATTTCCCGCCCACACAGGTTTTGCTTGTACCGTCGGTTGCTGCCAAGCTCCCTGCTCCCCAATGCATGTGATAACAAGATATTCGACCATTTCAATTCTTACTTTTTGGCAATTGTTGAACACTATGACTGAAGTTAATCACTCTTGCAAGCCCATGTTTATTTAGATAATTGGGCTGGCTGCTCTTAAGTGGCCCTGTCTTGGCAGTGGAGAGTTCCTGGCACCCTGATCTTGGCTGAAAAGTCCAGGCCTGCCCACACTTGGCCTTGGGACAGCCTTAGCCTAGCCTTTGAGGCCCATTGTGTGGTTTTTCATTCTCTTACTAAGGAAATAGCAGAATCCCTGGAGCCCACCCAGAAAATGTGACCATAGAGGAAATGACACACGGCGGTGGAGGCACACCCCGGTGCCCAGTTCTCTGGGAAGGTTCCCTCCTGGCTCAAGTGAAAGGGCCGCTCTGACTGATGCACACAGGACCAGCTATGGCCCCTTGAACACGTGCCTTTCATTTCCCCCCCCCTCACAGATGAACTTTAGCGGTAACAGCCCTGGCTCACTTCGAGACCTTTCAGAAATGCCTCTGGCTGGGCCACCCTCAATGCAAAGAACACAGACCTCATTTTGTTTGACCCCATAGGATTGTAAGACATCACTTTTTGTTGTCACTTATTAATTGTAATCATCTGCTGTGATACTTGTTTGCTAGAGCAGCAGCGATGCGTCCCAGACTCATCCCTGGAAGCTGTTTTAGAAAGTTCTGGAAGTTCAAGACTGAGGTCTCAGCAAGGCTGGCTCCCTGGGGCCTCTGGCTGACTTGTCTGTCTTCACGTGACTTTCACACTGCACATGCCTGTGTCCTGACTTCCTGTTATTATTAAGGCACAGATCTGATCAGGTCTGGTTCCACTCAACTTAATCTCCCTTTAAAGATCCTCTCTCTAAGGAAAGGCAGATTCTCAGGTCCTGGCAGTAAGGATTTCAGTGTGTGAGCTTTAGTGGGGCATCAGACAGTATTCAAGATGGTTTGCAGTCACAGTATCTCCAGGGATGTATGTCCATGAATACCCTCTTCCCACACACAGCAGGCCACGTCTACGCAGTATGGCGGAGGAGAGAGGCTGGCTTCTTATTTTTTTACACCCCATTCCCAACAGAAGCTGCCACTTCATGAAGACACCCCAGTCCTGTGAGGAGAGGAACTGAAGCCTATTACAACAACCAGTGCCAACTTCCCACCGTAGCAGTTGGCCACCTTGGGAGCTCAGCCCTCCAAGCAGAGCTGTAACCTCGGAAGACTTCTCCACACCCAAGTCAAGAGCCTCTGCTCTGGGCTGCCCCTGAATTCCTGTCCTGAAGAAGCCGCAAGATGATATGTGTTTTATCAGAGCCCATTAAAATGTGGAGTGTTTTATTACATAGCAAAAGGAAGTGAATACGCAGGTTGATATTTAGGAATGTGTGGCTGAGATGGTGACTCCAGGACAGGGTATTGGGCAAGAGTGAGGAGGTTCTTGAAGAGAATTTTGGAGAAAACTCTGGAGTTTTGATGGAAATCCCAGCATCAAGTACCCTTATACACAGAAGTCAACAGAAGCTCCAGTGAGACTGTCCCAACTGAACCCTGAATGGGTACAGCAGGCTGGATGTTCCCCCAGGTGCCTGGGCTGCCCCAGCCATTGATCTGGGTATTACACTGCCTGCTCACCTTTCTCTGTACTGTGCCATACGAATACAGCTATCTACCTGCAGGAAACATAGATAGCTGTCAGAAGTCCCGCCCTAGACGGAGGAGGCTGTAATGTGCAACCAACACCGATGATGTCAGAACCTTCCTTCCCATGCCTGGCCTGGCCTGCTGCTTTTCAGGCGGGGTTTGGGGGCCACTGTGCACTCTCACAGCCTGTGCTCAGTAAGACAGTGCGTCCCCTTGATAGCCAGGCTCTGGGGGTGCTTATCACAGCACAGTGGCATCACTCCTGTGACTTCAAGGGTGGCACACACATGTCGTGAAATCTGTCGTGGGGGAGGCCTCTCCTAGTCACTCAGTCAGCTCCTCTTGAGACAGTTCTACACACAACACAGAACACGAAGTGGTCAGCACTAATGGAACTCAGGGGGCTATTGATCACAATATTTTTAAAAGGAAGAATAAAGTTGGGAGGGAGATAGGATGAGAGATCTAGGGGCAGTTGAATGGAGGTTGTCGGGGTTGGATAAGATCAGAATACAATGTGTACATGTATGAAAATTTCAAATGGTAAAGAAAATGCCATTTAAAGAAACCAGCGGCCAGCCATATGTGGCAAACCCAAGCTGCAAGTTGAGAAATATTAGAGCGTGGGTTATTTTCTGCTCTACTAGGAACTTGAAAAAAATTTATGAACTCGGTCAATCAATCAATCAATCAAGACTCCAGGGGGAGAAAGACTAGAAACAATGTGTGCCTGTACAAAGCAGGGAGACATTTTCACAGTCATCCATCATCCAAGGAAGGCAAATTAGAGCTATATTATATATAAGGACTATTTAGAAGGTTTAGGTTGGAAACCTTTAGGAAAATCAAACACCAGACAGCCAACGTTGCGGAGCAACCCAAAATTGTACCTCACTATTTATATATGGAAATTGGTGCATATGTGCTTATACGTACATATTGATAAGTTTATACATACAAGTCAGGAAGTGCTCTGATGATATAAACAGACCCCACCCTCTTTTGATATAAAACATGTGGGAATTTATCTCAAAGAACTAGCCTATAAAAACTACCAGCACACTGTCTACAAAATGTATTCTGAAACTCAGAAACAACAAATCCCAAGCAAGATGGTAGGCAGTGTTGGGGTCTTCTTGGCTACACAGTAAAAGACCACTGCTATAAAGTTAAAGGCAAAGAGACCAAAGGATAATTGCATTTTTTTTTCTTAGACATCAGGGCTTAGAAGAAATTCAGAAAATGAATACCTTGTCATTTGATGGGTAAAATTTGTGGTTGAATATTATTATTATTATTATTATTAGTAGTAGTAGTAGTAGTAGTAGTATTACTATTTGATGTTGTTATTGTGTCTGTGCCAAAGACAATGATGATGTTTTTAGAAACTTGGGAAAATAGCTTCCTTTCAGCCTTTGAATGCTGAAGCCATGCTGAGCTGTGGTGGAAGCCGGAATGGTCCTTGGCCACTTGTGCCTGACAGGCCATCTCATCCTCACCAAGGCATGGGCTTCCAGAGGGGTGTGCTGAATCCAGAGCATATGGACCCACGAGACTTCAGCTCATATGCATAGGAAAATACACAAATCAATCCCGAAAGCCAGATGCTCTGGGACACCAACCACAGGGCTCCCTTCAGAGGCCCCTGATGAGAACCAGCCCTCCGTTCTCATGTGCTCATCCATCTGAGCCCATGCCAGGGCTAGGGTGAAGGCCAAATGTTCCTTTTCCCTTCTTCAAAGCCATGTGCCTGGGCCGCAGGAATGGCTGGAACAGTGAACGGAGATTACACATAGAT